TGAAAACTAGATTAATGTCAAGAACCGTTCTCGAAATATTTATCATACATTTCTCTCTTCTTTTAACACTGACGCCAACAATGGCTAAAACGGACATCCACTTATGAAATAGGACGACAAAGAACAGTTTTTCTTTCTTTTCATTAATCACTTGAGACTTATTGATTTACATGAAAAAAAAATCAAAGATGTAAAAATTTTTTAAATAATCACTTTATGTAACTAAGATTTCCTTTTAGTCTTCATAAACTTGTGTTATTCGAATGAGCATAATCATTTGATTAAAAGAGACATATATTCGGAGTTATTGCTTCTTGATTTGTAAGATAAAGATTTTAATATCTTTTTCAACACAACCTTTCAAATCAATGTAAAATAAGTTTAGGTCACATTATAGTTATAACATTCTGCTCAGTACTATACCATCGTATTAAATCCTACATTTTTTTTGAAAATCTGTAGTATCGAATGTTTCAAAGTGTCGCAACGAGCTATAGAAATATAACTTTTTTTAAAAATCAATAAGATGAATTTAGGTTTTGACCAAAAGTCCTTCATGACTTTCAATTCAGTCGAATAGTCACTAGAAATTCGGATTGGTCATATATTCACGTACTTTGAATCAATAATAATCTTCATACTCATTGATAAATGATGGCAGATATACATTCGAAAACTTTTGTCTTTTTAAGAGTTTTCAATGAAACAAGTTTAACTTCGTAGTATCGAAGTTGAAGTTCATTTGTAAGTTTGAAAAATTGAAATAGAATTGTATTACTACACGCTAGGAATTAAGGTGTTGAGAAAATTCATTTTTCTATCCTAGTTTTTATTTGAAGAAGTTAACTAACATCAAGTTATTATTGTAGTCATGATCAATATAAGATACATGAAATAGGATACAAAAAAAAACATTTAAACAAAAAAATTGAAAAGATCTATGAAATCTATAAAATTATTTTATAGTTCAATCGATAAAGATGTATTTACAAAAAAAATATCCTTTTATTTTTCAGGATGAACTATGTAATTTGAAATATTTGTCATTAATATGCTATGATACAATTTGTCTATATGATGAATTAGTGGTACCTCTTCTTAATCGTATGTCATATCTTGAAGAATTAACATTATATATTTGTATCATAAATCGATTTACATTCGTCGATGGAACTCATCTTCATAATAAAATCCTTATTCATATGCCACGACTTCATACATTTAATTTTTATATTAGTACAAAAACGGACACTGGTGATGCAACTCATCACATATCTCATTATGACATTCAACGAACTGTTATAAATATAGATCTTTACCAGGTGACTTATATTCTAGACTATTTCGATACTTTTAAGACGGTATGTCATGTTTTCTCACTCCCATTTATATTTGTTTGTCTCAAACAGATCACGAACAATCTTCCATCTATTATATTCAGATCTGTAACTCATTTGCAATTGCAGAATGAACTTCCATTCAAATATGTATGCTTCATTCAAGTTACTCGAGCTTTTCCATTACTTAAACCCACAATTTTGGAGATCTTACAGATATCCATTCGTTGACAACTATTCATATTCAATTATTGAATATTCTCATCTTATGTCACTTGATTTAAGTTATGTTGATCAGTTTCTGAATGAATTTAAAACACCTTTACCATGTTTAACTGAATTCAAATTTTCATATGATCAATTGAAAAGCGTAACAAAAACCTTACAAGAAATGCAACACGACAAAATTGTACCTAAATGAAACGATTAATTGTCGAAGACTCAATTTTTAATTCTATCTTGTTTTGATTTCATTTAAATAAAAAACAATAATTAACATCTTCCATTTTTTGAGAAAATAGAAAAGATGTTAAATATTATTTGTTAATGATCGGACTAAACGTAACATAAAACAATTCGGTGATCATTTGCGATCGTTCAATTTGAAGAAAGAAATACGAAAATGGTTATTTATTGCTTCAATTACACAGATGATAACAGAATTATTTCACATTAAACATAAGCAATAATTATTAAGATTTCTTAGTGAATAGTTGTTTCAGGATCATCTTCAAATTATCTAATTCCAATGACATTTATTCTCTAATCATAATCATAGTTATATGGATCGTTTCGATTTACATTTTAGGTAATAAACAAAAGTCATAAGTTCGTTTTCTTCTTCTGAATTTGGAAAATATTGATTGTAGTCAATATTGCAAAAAATGAGATGCAACGGGCATGCTCAAATGATTTGTTATGGTCGAACGATGTGTAAGTGAACTGTACTTTCACTTATGTTATATCGACTACAATATATTTTCCAAAGAGAACTTAAGAATTTCCAACAAAAAAATTATTAAGAAATCTATGATACAATGCTGCAAATATGATAAAATAATTTATATGGATAGACACATACAAGAGACTTCTATGGAAAAAAGCCTTGTTCAAATGGAGATCTTTGTAAATTCTTTTCCCACATTGATGTTTAAATTATAATTTCATAAGTAACTTGATTGTTTGACAAGATTCATTCCGAATATAATTAGCTAACATGTTTTCCACCTCGCTCATGATTCATATTAATCAAATTAATTTCTTGGTCTCCAGACAACGAATAATAGAAGTATTTATTGTTGGTCGATATGAGTATAAAATATTAGCTAGTCGTTCTCGTTTACAAAGTAACTTGATATTAATTCTACAGTTCCATGCTGCCAATTTTTAGCGAAGGATAATGTGTTGAAGAGTTTTGTCAGGTAAAGAAGATTATTCCATCATACGCAAAGCAAGCAAACCAGATGACACTGTAATTTTGAGACGATTCATGGCATAACTCTGGATGAACTAGGATGGTCTCAACCGATATTCAAAAATCCGCGTGAAAGAGCCTAAACCTAATGAAATCAGCGCTGGCTTTCAAATCGACAAGAACAGATACTACACTTAGATCTTCGCTGAAAAAGCCGAGCAGCGATAGCTATTTTTTTTTTTTGCTATAAGAAATCTTCATTATGAGATTGTCTTTTCTCATTAAAAAAAAGTAACAATGAAAATAAAATTAACAATAACACCAGATGATTTTATAATAATGAATGTAGCCATTTGGTATCATGCAGACCGCTATTCAAAAAAATTGATTTATCTCAACCATTGTTCAATTATCTTACATCGAACAAAATTTATCTCTAGAGTTTTTATAAAAATGGTGAGAACTTTGAGATAGTAATCTGAATTACACCAGTTAGGGTGATTCGAATCATTCCTACTGGAGAGAACTTTGAAAACCTCTAGTATTTCTCGAGTAGGTTTGCAAGTATTGTTCCTCAAACAAGAAAATGTTCGTCTCATTGTTCTCTATCTTTTCAAGTGAAACGAGGCAAATATGAACTAATTTGGCCGATTATCAATCGAAATTATGAAACATAAACAAAAAAAGAACATGTTTTTTTCGAGTCATCCTTCCTATCTTTGGATGAATATTTCATTTTTATGAAAAGTCTCACGAAACAAAAATAACTCGATGAAAAATAAACTACTCTCTCTTGATAAAAAAAAGAATTTGAAACCATCTATCAATTCTCTGAAAATAGAAAATTCTATTGTGTGTATGAGAACACAAATATCAATCGTATAATCATTAATTTATCTAGTTCTGTAGTATATGTCTCTCTTTCATTAGTACGTAGATTAACGGTACATACATTGTTTAATGAATTTGGCTTTGATTATATCAATGAAAGATATAATAATTCTAACTCATATATTCATTATGTTATACGTATTTCTTACATCTTCTCCACAGAAAAGAATACTTGATCTTATGTGGGACGCATTTCTCGATGTTCAAACACTTACGATCAACATGTACTTTTTTTTTTACCCAAAATGAGTTGTATCGATTAGTTTGATGTAAATATAGTTTTATAATAATTGAACATTACAATATACGAGTAGATTATTTTGTTTATAATATACTTATAGTATATTTCTCATAGAAAATGAATATTCTGAAACAAGTCAAAACAATTTCAATTCAACAGTGATACTGACAATCTTTATTATGATGGTATTAAGAATGCTATAGATTTTTTTATTTTACAATAAAGCATGTCCTTCAGACCATTTTTCACGGCGATATTTCTTTTGTTTTTCTGACTTTGTTACGTCTAACTATACCATCATTCGAGATCATGAGTATTTGACATATGGAAATCTTCGTTTATTAAATTCATGTAGAATTATTCTATAAATAGTTATTTAAAATGAAAAGTATTGTTGATAAATTTTATATGTCAGAAGAAACTAGTGCTAATTATTTTCAGTTTTTTTCCTTTGTTATTACATAATTACATTATCGTCTAAGATAATATTTATAGAAATATCATGACATTTGTCGATATCTATAAGAGATGGTTCTATTTAATTTTCAAGTTTGATTGAAAATTGTTCAAAGTTCTCTGCATATTGTTTTCCTTTTCTTTTATTAAAATCATCATAATTGGTATACTCGAATGATGATAACATACAATACAATAGTCATTCACGCTCTGGTGTCTTTTTTGTTTTTGATTTGTTTTTACAAAAAGAAATTATTTTCCTAACTCATTTCCCTATTATGAATGAATGCTTCATTTTTAGGAGAAAGATAAAGTTTTTATTTTTGTCTTTGCTCATAAAACTTTTCGAAATCTCAAGAATATAAAACATCCTTGAAATATCGATGACAAATGAAAGAAATTTTAAAGAAATGTTTTTTTCTTCAAAAAATACCTTTTTTATCATTTCTATGATAGTTGTTGTTTTAATTTATTTTTCAATCTTCTCAGGTTATAGCATTTTATTTTTCCAAATATCTTCTACAAAATGAAACTGATTGATTGATGAAATCCTAGCAAAACGAAAAACAAAAAAAAATTGACGTTTCTCTATAAGTGAGAGTAGTCGAACAAGCATTTATTTATCGATAAATCCAAAATATAATGATTTCGTAATATAAAATGTTCTTGTCTCAAAAATGAATTTTTAGAATTATTAGTTTTTTTTTCCACTCTGCCTTACATACTTTCTTTTGATAGATAAAAGGAAACGTAAAATTATATGAGTAACTTAACCTTGTTTTTCTTTTTAAATTTCAAAAGAAAGAAAATGTAATCAGAAAATTTTATAATTTATTAGATGATACCTATAGAAAGTAATTATTAGTTATTGCCTTTCTTTTCTGTTTTATAAAAGATTTCAACATTTCTTAGTTTCACGTACATAACCAAACTTCTAGTGTACTGTAATGGTTCATCTTTATATAAGGACTCAAGACACGTTAATTCATCAACTCGAGTTGATTTTAATGAAGACTTTTCGTTTGATTACAAAGAATAATTCATTGAACATATTAACTTTGTAAAAAATGTAATCTTCATTTTAAGAATAGTTTAGATATTGACATGGGTATAATCATCAAAATCTGCCATAAGATAAAATTAAATTTTCTTGGTCATATGTATCAATTATGAGTAAACAATAAATGTAATAAAGGAGTAACTATCATTCACTTCTTATGAAGGATAACTATATAAAGTAAATCTTTTCGATAAGCACGTTCTGTAAATATCACAACAAACTATCAATAACCTGTATTACTGATTTTTATATATGTATTCAATTGCATTCACAAATTCAAAGAAATAGTGATGAATATAAAACTCTCAAAATTATTTTCAATATTAGATTTAATCATTTCGTGATTGTGGATATATAAAAAACAAAACGAATGTTGAGGCACATGCACCAGTAGTCATGAATTCCTCTCAAAATATACAGCTCATTATACAGTATATATTATCGTTTTTATTTTTTTTTCCAGATATATCTATAGAAAAAAAATTATTCATTTTCCACATTATGAATAGAAAACAGTGATACAAAAACAATACTATTTCTAGCTTTTGGAAATAGTTTTTTATACTAAACTACATACGATAAAATGTTAACTGAAAGAATGAATTGAGTTTAGATTTTATAAGCACTATCATTTTTACACATTTCACTTTCTTTTCAACGTAATCTAATGTAATGCGTAAAGACAAGAGGAATGCCGCGCTCTTACTTCATTTATGACAATTTTTTCTTTCCATTTGAACAATGTATCGCTTGTCACAAGGTGCAAGTGAAATTGGTTATTTGATCATATGAATTGAATGATGAAAATTGAGAAATATAAGAAAGAACAGAATGGTTTTGTTCATTGCAAATTCCAAAAACTAAATGCTTTTATTGATAAAATCTATTCAGTTTGTTTAAATATTCACGAGTATTGATTAATAAAATAGATAATTGTTTCTAATTACTGAAAAAATCACTGTCTATGAAATTATATGATATGCTTAGAATTAAATAAAGTATATTCTGTGTTTTTATAGTTTGCAACTTCATAGACGATAAAAACAAATTTAAGTAAAAAATAAACTTGTCAATCTAATGATTTCATAATAGTAATAGACCATTGTAGGTGTATTCGTGTATTTCATATGATTTTTCCTTCATACAGAGATTGTTCAACAGATAAAAGAACTTCCTATTGTTTTCATAGTATTTAGTTTATTCAAATCTTTCGTCAAATTATTGTTGGTATATTGTTTGTTTCGATTGGATGGGGATGTTATGAAGTTTCATAAAAAAGAAAACATACTCAACAACTTGTTTGTGTATTTTCCTCGTTAAGTTTTGATGTTTTTGAAAATAATACAGACATATTCGGACATATATCCATTTTCCATAATTTTATAAAGACAATTAGAAAAAGTATTAATTAAATAGGTATATACATAGCTAGACTAGAATATTTTTTATTAGATTTGTCTTGTTTTCCGTAATTGATATGACAAAAGAACAAATTGAAGGGTCTTCATTGCTTAATATAGTCATAAAAAACTATTCAATTCTCTCATCAATATAGACATTGTTCAATTGGTATTTTTTTGCCGATTTCGTTATGTAATGAACTGATGTAGTTATCGAGTATTTGTAAAAGGAACACTTTTATTGCGATATTTATTTTGTTTTTCTTTTCAAAAAAAGTGAACAAACATGAGTAAATAATAGGTGAGAAAATGTATAAGCTAGACATTTCATTTGAAGAGAGCTTGTTACAATGCATAATTGAACTAAAGAAATAATAAAATAATGTATAAAAGGAAATTACTAAGATTATTAGTTAATAAAATTGATCTGAATATGAGGTATCTTTTGTTTATGCTTTATATTTATTTATTTAAATCTTATAATTTCAATTAGTTTGTTATCTGTTGACAATAATAAGAAAAAATTTTGTTATACTCGAAGTACATTAATTTCGTTGACTGAAAATTGTCTCTGCCTTTTTAGCAATCAAATTATGTATAGATCAAATATTTGATTTTGTAAAAGAAATCTCAATAATAATAAATCAATTAATTAATCAATCATATATTTCTTTTCTCATTAGACTTTCAATGAAAAAATTTTGATAAAGATGTGTTAACATTCTATGCGTGAAAAAGAACTTTCGTAAGAACCATATGTTAAGAAGTATAAGTGAATCTTTGAAAAGTAGAAGAAAAATTTGATCTAAATGATATTTAAAGAAAATTGCAAACGTCCTCCTATGAAATGATATCCTCCTCGTTACTTTTATGAGAAGTTTCTATCAATAAAAAGGCTTATAATAAAAGATTTATTGACATGCTTATATTCGATATATATGATAGAATTCAGATTGATGTTGATGCTTATAGAATATTTGTGTAAAGTTTTTTGTTTAAAATATCAAGTAACTTCTCCCGATTGTAACGTATTAAACAATGAGTCTTTTGATAAGATTCATAAACAATTTGCTTTGTATTCTAATATTTATTCAAATTTAATTTATGTTTCTTTTTTCAAATGACCTCAGTTCAATTCAAATAGTCATTAGTCCAGAAATCTTACTCATACGTACTGCTGATCGCAAGATTCAATTCGTATGATTAGGTACAACAGATCAGGCATCATATGATCATGATTGCATAAGAGGAAAATAATTTTTGAATTTTTATATCAAGACAGACCAACTCTTTGCCAGTATTTTCATATGAAGAAATCCAATATGATTTTTTTTTGTATTAACCTCTTTGTATATCTGTTGTGTCTGTTATTTATTTGATTAAATTATTAAATTGAATGAAGACATTAATAATTGTTTTTTTATTCAAACGATTAATGTGGAAAATCAGCTATTGTAATCAATTTAAATTAAATAGTCTGGTTGCTTTACCTTTTATTTTGAAGAAAGTTCGTTTCCAGAAAAAAGTGCATTTTGATCAGAGATTTCTCTTTAGGTTCTCTAATAGTGTAGAGCTAGGTTCAAATTTGGGTGTGGGTGTAGATAAAGAGAAGACCCACACCCACACCCTTCAAAAAAATTTCTTCAAAAGAAAATTTTTATCAAGATTAAATAACAGGAAAATTAGAAGCTGTTGGAGATACAGTAGAACGATTTCATTTTATTTTACATCCAAAAGATGAACAAAGTTTAACTCGTGAAAATCAAGATAAAGGAAAAGAATTATATTCACTTTTAGTTCACCATGAAATTATTCAAGGAGATACAATAAGAAAAAGATTTCGAAATAATTCACAAGAACGAGATAAAATAGAAAAGATAATTCGAAATGATCTTGATCCTTCGATTGCCGATCCATTAATTAGTTTATTAAATAGTGAATCTTATTTTGAAAAAAAAAAGATTTCGACGATATTGTTTGTTATAGTGAAGAATTATGGCAAATTTTAAATATAAATAGAATAGAAAAAGAATTACCACGGATATATGAAAATGTTTAGAAAGATTTAGAAGATAAAATAGATCCACAACAAGTTAATATTTCTCTATTTGAACAATCAATAGAAAGGAAGATATGCAAAAATTAAATTTAACGATAATGGTCATGAAACAAAAGATCTTAAAACATTTTTAATAGAATTAAAAGATAATATTAGTCAACAACATCAATATTTTTATCAAACAGATTTACCATTTACTACTAAAGAAGAAGAAGGAAATAATATTCGAATTTATCTAAAAGAAAAAAATATTTTAAAGTCTGGTGGACTTGCCAAATATAAATATGGAGATATTAAAAGAAATATTGAAAGAATTTTAAATAAACTTTTAAAAAATACTCAATTTGAAAATGATAAAGAATTAATTTTGTTGAAAATTTTGTCTTTACAAGGAGATACTCGTTCATTTAAAAAAGGTTTAAAAGCTAATTTAAAAGATTTTATAGATCTTCAAGATCAAGAAAATGTTCCAAGTGAATTAAGATTTTTTTAAAGGTTTTAATCTTAGTAAATTTTTGATTATTGAAGAAGATAAATCTTGGTGGGATTGGAATGGTTTTGCCGTTGCAATGATAGGACTTGTTCAAGTCATTGCCGAAGCTGTTTTAGTAGCCTTTGGTTTGACTCAGATAGGCAATGCTTTAATATCAGGTACTTTTAGTTGGAAAGAATGGGCAATACAAAAAGCAATTAGCTTCGGTCTCTCTATGTTGACTGCTGGAATTGGAAAGTTTTTGACGGATAAAATTATGGAACAGATTCAAGAAAATGTTATACAAAAGATTGTTAGTAAAATAGAAGAAAATTTATTAAAAGGAATAATCGGTTTAATAAATAATAAAGTAGCAACTCTTTATCTTCAAAGTAAAAATGAAGAAGAGTTCAAAAAATCTTTTGAAGAATTGAAAAAACATATTAGAAAAAACATTAGGAAAAGATATTTTATTACCTCAACAATTTGATAATATTCGAACACGAGTTGTATCTTCTTTAAGAAATAGTTATCATCTATTGGCTGATGGTCTAAAGAAATCAAATTCAAAATACGTTAAAATGGCTGCTACTACTCTTAAAGCAATAGATATCATTAATAAGTTGTGGATTGTAGTTCAATCTGTCTTACAGTTCGAACATGTCCTTAATACTTTAAAAGATATTATTGAAGGTACTACCAAAGAAAATTCAAATATTTATAGAAAAAACATTAATCAGAACCTTGTCGAAACAAGAGCAGAACCGTTGAATAGAATCATTAGAGAATATATATATCAACTAAATTAACAAAAGAATTAGATAAAGTAGTAAGACAAGCTATTAATGGAACATTAAAACAGATTGGAAAAACCATTGTAGAAGGAATAAAGACAATGGTTGATTCACAATGTAATGGAAAAAAATCCAGCTAATATAATGAAACAATCGAATCAAAATAGACAAAATCATGCAGAAAGTCAAATTGCTAATAAATCAAGATTCAAAGAAAGAATAACAAGATCGAGTGAAAAGAGAAGATCTACAAAATAATATTAGAAATCCAAAACAAATTACTGCAAGTTATTTGAGATAAGCAAAAGATAAAGATAGAGCTTTAGGTCTAACTGATATCAAAATGTTAGCAGATCGTAAAAGAAGAAAAATAACTGTTTACAATTCAGATACTGGAGAAAAAGAAATAATAAATCCTTCAGAAGTAAGAAAAATACCTGTTCTTTTTAAACAATCTGCTAAAATCTATTATGAAGCAGATAAAAATTAAGATATTGGACATTATTTTACTGGTAGAGGAACAGAAACATATATACAGATCAATGAACGGAAAGATTGTTTGCTAATAGCTTATCATGAATCATTAGGTAGAAAAGTAAATGAAAATATTATAGAACAAGAACGAGTATCACTACGCCGTTATACTGCTAAACATTCAGAAAAATATGTTAGACATAGATGGGAGATTGATTTGAATAGATGTAATCAGATGATAGGTGGTATACCAAAGAAAAACCTTTAAATCTTCAATCCTATCACTGTAATGCAGGATGGTTCTAGAAAAAGAAATAAAATATAAATTAATACCTGAAGCTGTGAAAAAATTAAGGAATGAAAATGATAAACTAGTGGTAATTACGTCTCAGCCATTTAAGGCGGGTACAATAAAGCAAACAGATAATGTACGCTTAGATGATCAGAATTTTACTGGAAATAGTGACTATGTTAATTTTCAAGTACAAATAGGTGGACAGAGATATGAACATCAACGTAGGGGTAATGAATCTACAACTGTCGCACATATTTTAGTGACAATACCACCAAAAGATTCTGATGCTGTTTATCATTATAGCTCAAGAAAAATTGCTAAGGTCCTTCTTGATAGTTTAAATAATGGCAAAACAGTAAAATTACTTGCAGAAAATCTTTAATAGGCATTTCAAATTAATAACCTTTAAGTTTTGGTTAAAATTTATATGTGAACAGTATCAAAATCTTTTCCATCTATACAATGCTCCTATTATTGTTTAAATAAATCTCATTATTAGTAGCATATTCCCTTTCTCCTTATGTATTTTCAGCAATCAATGTGGTGCTTTCTTCAGATTTTATTGATCGAATGAAATGTATTAGAATATATACATATTCACCTTTCTGTTTTTATACAATTTGACAGTAGATCAGTACCACAGTAATAACTTGCAGGAATGACTCTTCTCTTGTTATTTTCTTTGAATGATGACATGATCTCGGAAATACTAGCCAGGAAAGTCTATACACCCTCAATCATCAAAGACTGTGGGTGCTCAGTTTGACCGAAAGCTTCAGTTCTTTTTCTATCATCTTGCTTCCATAATACATCAGAAAAAAATGTTTTTTTTTTACCACTTACAGTGTTTGCATAATGCTAATGAACGCTATCTCATGTGAAATCAAAATCTTCAAAAAAATCTGTTTGTAAGTAGAAAAATATTTTTTCAAGACTGATTATTTTGATTTTACATAAGATAGAGACTCCTTAGACTTGCCTGTTCATTAGAATTATGTGAACACTATAAGTGGTAAAAAAATCATTTTATGAAAGCAAGACGATAGAAAAAGAATTGGGGCTTCCTGTCAGACTCAGCACCTCCGTATAATTCCAACTTTGCCTATAGATTTTTATGTATTCTGTTACAATCAAAATAATTGATGGAGACTTTACAGAAAAATATTTTATTACACTTCTAAGTATTATATCATTTCTAAAAAGTTTTGTTTGTCACAATTTACTGCAAAAACATTCATATGTTTGTGTGTACAAAGTTTCATCAAACTAATAAAGAAATATAAGTTTAAAACTAAAAAATTTTACTAATATTCATTCTCTGTTTAAAAACGCCTATTAATTGAGCTATCTCAATAACTTTCACTTATGTATTGCGTTTTTTTGTACAACAAGTTGTCTGTTATGTTTTATTATTCATCTTTCATTATTGTACTGTTTTCTATTCTATAATAATTTTCAGTATATTGTGCCAACATATTTTTATTATATATTAATATGTTGAAATTGAGTGTTCCTTCTCTTTTCTGTATTATCCACACTTTTGATCTTGTGGATGATCTTTAGCAAATGACGGCTAGTCTCTCTCCCATACTGCTGTCTAGTTAATTTGATACTAAGAAGACAAAAAAATATGAGCAAAAGAAGATCGAATCGAAGCATTTTAATTGGTCTTGTTAGCATCGTATACTTCATGCCTCACTATAACATTGATGATGTAAACTGATCTGATAACCATTTTGTCTGACGGTACACTCAAAATTAACCGAAATTAATATCCAAAATAATCAGTAATATCTTGATCAGAATATCTTGATTGCGAACATTTGCAGAACATTTTCAAGATGAAAATGTGTCCCTACGTTGTGATTAATAGTCAAAGACTAAACTTTATCTTCAATACAACAACAAAAATTTTCCGGATCGAGTATGTGTAACGAAACCTATCAACACTTCGAAATTTTTGTTAAGAAAGCAAGCTTTGATTCATTCTATCATGACTGTAGTGGATTTTCTCATGAAAGTAAAACAATTAAAATCAAGTGAATATGCGATAACTTACGAAAATTAGCAAATCTTGATACTATCAAAATCAAATTTTTCATAAAAACCAGTATCAAGCTAATCCATCTGAAGTTCTGGGCGTCAAGAACTAGCGTGATCATCTTATTTCATGACATTTCAGTAAAGGAACTTACATCTTGAAATGCATCCAAATCGCTTGCACAGATTTGATGTAAATCTATTACAACAAAATGATTATAGTCAATCACACATTGAGCTCAATGTCATCACAGAGAATATAATGTTTGCGAAAAAGATAATCATCTATATCGATAATGTCCACTGCTATCAAATAGAAATCATGCTAAAGGCATTATTCATATATGTTTGTTCTCTTTCTTTTTGTCAAGTATTTTCTCAATTGTTTTCTGTTGGGGTCTTCTTATACCGGTTTTTCTTGCTTTGATATCCTAACCGATATATTTTCCAAATGTATTGTGTTATCTTTTGATATCTTCCATTTTTTTGCTTAATATTTGATGTAATATCTGGTGTGGGTGTGAGTGTAGGTGTGAGTATGGATTTGCCTGTCATTATAAACAAAAGAGATATCCACAACAACACCCACGCCCAAGTTTCTAAAGATTTTTAAAAATTTCGTAGCTAACAGTGAACTCTTTCAGTTCTGTTTTCTGACTCAGAAGACAAAGCCGACACTTTTTCTCTTCCTACTTAGTAAAATGGGTTATATGAGTCATATAAAATGATGAAATGACTACCGTGGATAGTTTATAGCATAAATATTTAAAGATTCATTTTTTTCGACAAATAAGTCCACGAATATAAAGAAGATTCGAACAAGTTCTTGCTATTTATTTTTGCGCCTTTGATTCAAAGAGAAAAGATTCGTAAGACAAAGCAAGTTGTTCCTTGGAGGACATTCATTTTAATTTACAATATGGCGAAATGCGTCAATTATAGTAGGAAGTTCGATGTGGAGCGTGAGCGCGAATGTATATATGCTCTCTAACGATTTGATCTAGCTACGAATAATATTTAGAAATGAGAGTTACATTTCAATTGACATCCAAACTCAAAGTCTGGTCCATACGGTCTACTGCAACATGACTGACATAGGCAGCTAATGTCATAGCTGTAAACAAAATCTCTACTTTTTATATCCCTGAGATGGACTATACTATTTAATGATTTTTTTTCTTTCCAGAGCCTGCACAATAACCATCTCATTTTAACATGATACTCACCTTTCGACTCAATATTCTAGATGACTTCGATACCGCTGCCGAGAAACAGCATTGATTGAAACATTTTGCCATTTCCAGATGGTTAGTCTGATGACAATCTTTAATTTGAAGTTTTCCTACGCACAGAAGATTTTTTATGAGTTGAGTACTCTTGATTATAAAACTCTGAGTCCATTTTACTTTTTATTTTAAGTCTGGGAAAATATTCAGATCAGAAAAGATTGTCTAGAAGTCAGATCTCATCCAATCCATAGATGGAACTTAGCAAGTTGATGATTATCGAATACTTTCTGACTTTATTAAATTTATGAGCAACTATAAATTTTGCTGTTGAGTAGAACAGCTCGAATCATCGCAATTTCCAAGAACGGGAGCGAGGAGGCAATATACATTGCTTGCTTTCAAAAACTGATATTTAAAACCTTCAAAATTGTTTCACTTATTAATTATTACTTGTATTGAAAATTCTAACAACATTTTTTTCATTTTATTGTATGAACTGTTCAAAATTCATACAGATATATACTAGTTTAACCTGACAGTTCTGCAGTGGAAAAGTATGTGTGAGTTTCTTTTCACATAAGACAAAAATTTAGAAACAATCGATGCATCGTTCGACTCTGTGAATCATATACAGATGCAAGAATTCCGATATTGTTAAAACTTGCAATTCAACTTTGAAACTGCCAATCAGAAGGATAGTAAAATACTGCAAGCTTTACATAGAAACAGCAATAACGTTGAAGAAAATTTTTCAATATTTGTACCAAAGAATTTTTTTTTCATTTGAACTTTTCATTATATTATAATATAGAAAAGCTATTTTTCCATTAAAATGTTCTTAATGAGCTTTATTTTGAAAAATATGATTTTTATATGAGAAAATAGGTGAAAATGTTGATTTGGACTTTAACATCAACATCACCTTAAAATAGTACTACTATTTGTCAATGTTATGTACTAAGAGCACTGCTACGCATCCAACTGTTCTACATACCTATTATCAGCTAGACTGTACTATTGTTGATAAATTCTTTTAAAAGTTCATAGTTGCTTGATTTTTTAATTTTTACACAATTTATACTTTGGCGTCTTCATTCTGTTTTTGTAACGTATAGTGTTATCGAATGCTTATCCATCGCTTTGGTTTAAAATGTAGCATGACAGGTGGATGAGATCAATGTTTTATATCACACATCCTTCACATATATATAGTTCAGTATAAAATGATTCATAGGTAATCCGTTTCTTTTGCAATCGTAAATTGACTTTAAAAGTACTGACTGATTTTACATTTTTCCAATGAGAATTTGAACACGTCATACAATAATATGAAAAAATGCTATTGGAATTTTAAACGTCTTCTAACATAAGTGCTGATTCACACACAAGTGAAACAATTTTCGATTTTTCTACAACTTCAGTTTTCGTAAGCAGCCAACGTACATCGTACTATCGCTTCCAATTACTGAAATGGCACAGAACGAAAGTGCTATCATCCTTAAATAAGTGAGTGTGAATGTACGGATGCGTTTGTAAATCTGATTCACAGAATTCCTCATCATCAGAGCGACATTCACATGCTCTTTAGGCAATAAAATGCAATGCTGAAGAAAATCTGACGACTACAGTGTAGTAGCTTGAACTATGCTTTTTTCAGAATGGTTAGAAGATGAAATTCAATCTTCAAACTTCAGATTAATTAAATACATCTTGGATGTTTTTCTTAGACATTCATATGGAAGCATTTATATATTTGATATGCATCCAACTCGAGTAGGTTCAACGAACACTGAAATGCATAGTTGCACCACGACTGGAAAAGTCAGCTACTAGGTAACTTGAGTAATAGTAAACTGTTTTTATTATCCGCAGAATCGACACTGTGAGTTAGCTGTACCAATTATAACAGCTCTCTCTAAAGAAGTTGTTATAGATTTTCGAGTTTTTTTGGAAATTACTGAGCATCGACCACGTTTTTTGTCACTGGTTTGTGAGTCAACATAGGAGTAGTCAGAAACCGTTTACCAAGATCTTCAACGGTGAAAATCTGAAACTCCATAACTCAGATAAGACGATTAAATCTCAAAATAGAATTTGATAATCGGTTCTATAA